TGTGTGTGTGTGTGTGTGTGTGTGTGTGTGTGTGTGTGTGTGTGTGTGTTCTTTTTTGCTCCCCCTTACCACTCATAGAGAAGCTGAGATGAATTTTTAACAAGAACAGCAGTAACAGCGGCGTTCTGATTGAAAGACAGAAACAAAATCAAATACATGTACATATGTGGACCGAACCCTTCCTTTTAATCTTTCATTCTCTCATATTTTTGTATCGCTCATGATGATTTCTTTTATTTAACAATTCGTTCTTTCTACTATTCTGTTAAAGCTACTTTTGAAAACTGGGAAATCTGAAGCGTCGTTATGGTCACCCACTCCGCGCTTTCCAAAAAGGATGGCAGTTTGTTACTATTGCATCCTGCGACCTTCATTTTAATACTCACGCGTAAAAAAAAATTTTTTTTAAACTGAACCAAAATCTAAAGACAATGTTTTCGAAATCGTGCTATTTTTTAAAAAGCTGGTTATGACAGGGTGTATAGCAGCAGCTAGCGACTGCAAGCGCTGGCTGATCATTGCACTTACGCCAACCCCTGAGCCAGAGTTGGCCCCTCCAGGTATCCAGGTAATGGGCACTTTGGTAGGGCCAACACCCTCGACTTGCTTTGGTTGTTACTGTTTTCTCTCTCGTTTCATGGCGACTTGTGGCTGCTATCGCGGAAACTTTTCGTGAACTGCAGTTCTGATTCTTTTGATCTATTTGTTCATGTACATGTACTTGTGGTTCCCACCTGCTGCTCCTGGCCGTTATACCCAGAAGGCGTGATTTCGATTTCGATGCTTGGAAGTCTGTTTTATTGAGTGTCTCTCTCCTTCTATCCTCTGAGGCACTGTACCCCACTCAGCCCGAGTTGGCATTGGCAGGTGGAGTTGAAGCAACCTGCCTCCCAAATTATTTAGAATTGTGTCTATGGGGGCGTCAGAGATTTTCAAATAGTTGCATATTAATTCAGTCATAATAAATTAATATATTGCTCTACTTTTGTCTTCCATAGCGGTGGGTACCCTCAAACAGTTCAGCGAAGTTACGGAGCACCACGTTGCGAAACATGGCTTTGAATGTGACCACTTCACGCCTACAAACCGTCCGCACTGCGTTCGCTTCCAGTACACGTTGTGTGAGACGACGCCTGTGCACGCACTGCGGGGTGCTGACATGTACCGTAAGGACGGACTCTACAGTTCCCATCTCTTCAAGCTCTGGCCCATAGCGCTCAAAGACACAGCGCGGCTCAGCGATGAAATGACCCTTCCCAAAGGGGTAAGTTTGGTAAATGGGTCTTTGTCGAGTCGAGATTTTGTTCTGGTTGGGTTGGTAAGAGTCTGCATGACCTCTGCTGCGCACACCAGGAGTCTACATTCTCCGTGGGACCACATAAGCGTCTTTGTTGCTCTCATTCGGAGTCATATAAGGGATACCTGTTGATGCTCCAACTGTAGTCCAAATCTTGCCTATTTATGAAACAGCAAAAGCACCATCGTCCTGCCTCCTTTGTAGAATTCTAAAGTAAGAAAGAGTAAATTCATTCTACCCCCCCCCCCAAAAAAAAACTACACCACCACCACATATAACTGTGTGCGACCATTGTCTTGCCTTTTGTTTTTTCTCTCGATAAAGGGGTGAGGAGGAGGAGAGGCAGAGGAACAAAGAGGTTGGAGATGAGATGGCTGTCGTAAAAGAGAAGAGAAGAAGAAGAAGAAGGATAAACAAACAAACAAATAAACAAAAGAAATCGAAAGTATGTGTATTGGGGGGGGGGGGGGTCGATAACAACAACAACAACAACCTGTATCCAGTAGCTCGGGGAAAGAGGGGTGGGGTGGGAGGAAGGGATACTGACTGTCATAACTATCAACTCCCCTTTTCTCTTTCCCAGGTAGTGAACACACACCTACGTAAGAAAAAGTACAAGAGGCTGGAGCTCCGCCAGCGGCCCAAGACCATCCACAGCATTGACGAGATCTTCCAGGAGTCGGAGATGAATACGCAAGAGGGAAACCTCAGGGCCGCCAAGAAAGACAACCTGTCCAAGTCTCAGCCCTCGTTCACCGTTCCCGTAAACACGTCTGGCGAAGGGTTCGAGCGTATGGCCAGTTTCAGGCAGTCGTTGAAGGAGGACAGAAAGGTGGGGGAGGGGGAGGAGGCCGTGGACGAGGAGGGTCGACGGAAGGCAGAGAAGAAGAGGAGGAGGAGGACGGTGTCTGGAGTGCCCACGAATATCATGCAGGTGAGCTTCTGTGTAATTTGTTTTGTTTGTTCTTTCTCCTCATGTTGGTGAGGTTTGTCTGCTTTAACATTTTTATTTGGAAGGGGAAAAAAAAGTGGGTTTGGGGGGGATGAGTACGGTACATTCCCATCCAGGATATTTATAGAAGAATATTATTGTCTGTAGTAGGTTTGTGGGATGTCTTTTTTTGCACCAGACACTGGTGGGTTACACTTGTGGGATCTCACAAAGTGAAATGCAGATGGTGTAGTGTGTTCTGTTGGGCCTGCCGTTTTCCCCTCTATTCTTTCTAACCTGCTGTTTTCACCTCTACGTTTCTTCTTCTATTTTCTAAAAACCTGTTGTTTTTTCCTCGCATGTTCCGCCTGTCTAGGAGATCGAGCAGTTCGAGCGTGGACGTCGCATTGACCGTAACCGCCCCCGGCAATACAGCCTGGACGACCTTGACCCCAAGGAGCTGGAGGAGCGAGACCGGCTGATGCAGCAGTACCTGCTGGAGATCGACGCGCAGATCGCCGAGAGAGAGGAGATGGAGTATGCCCAGCAGCGAGAAGCCAAGCTGCTCAAGTTCCTCCCGTGCAGACGATCTCGCTCTCTGCCGCGCTGTGTGAGGCTCATGTCAGCTGTGGGCAAGGTCAAGGACTCCACGCTGACGAGGTCGTCGCTGTACGAGAAAAACAAATCATCGAAAGTCCCCTCGGACGAGGTGCGTCCCCGGCAACCTGCTAGTGGAATCACCCGGCAACCTGCCAGTGGAATCACTCCCAGTTTGTCCAACAGCGCCAGTATTGGGAGCCTTAGTTCAAGTGGTGGAGGAGGTAGAGCGTCCAGGTCGGCGAAGAGGTCAAGTCTGATTGGTAACAAGATCAGATCTTTCGTGTCGGGCACTCTGAAACCACGGCCGAAGTCACTGGATTTTGATGCCATAGAGACTGAGAAAGATGACGAGACGGACAAGGGACATAAGCCAGTAAACAGATCTGTGAGCTTGGGCAGAGTTAATTCCCATGCTATGCCTGAAGGTAAGTTTTTTACTTTTGCCCAGACTCGTACCGGTACGGTGACACATAGTATAAAATGAAAATTATTAGATCTATCTTCAAGTCTAGATCTATGCAGTAATAAATTCTTTATGTAGGGCCTACTCCTTAAAAAGCTAGAAACAAGAAATAATGAGTTAATCCTGGCGCTCACTTTTCCAAGAAAACATCTCAAACTTTGGGCCCTATTCTTAATTCTTACTGTCAAAGTGCCCAAAGATTTCACCCAGTGTATTTCTGCACAATTTAATCACAAGGTTCTGAAAATTTCGAGGAGTAATTAGCATATATAAAGGCAGATTGCCTACTTGAATTTCGAAGCTTACTGGATGGTGAGAAGTAAATAAAATATTACAGGAAGTTTGTTTGAAATTATAAAGTGAAAGTAGGTGGTCGGTGGTTGTTCTGGTGTGGTTAGTTCCCTTTTCCCTGTCGAACATCTGTTGTCCTTATCTCTCCTTCTTTTTTTCTTTGTGTGTTACTCTTTAGTAACACCTCATTTCAGCTCTTTTATTATCTATTTGTGTGGCAAGTGTCATACATAAAGTGTAAAACTGAATATTTAGATGGTCACGACATTGATCTATTGTACAGAAAACCTGACAAGAACGGCGTCCAGTGAATCCCAGGTTGGTCCCGGCTCCTACTACTACTTTGACAACAACACAATTCCCCGGGCCCAGGCCAAGAAGTACGACTTCCCCTGGGACTCCTTGCCTAAGGACTGGACCACCTCGGTCAAGCTCAGGGAGATCTCCAAGAGGAGGAAAGAGGACAGACAAAGCTCATCTGGTGAGGCTTTTGTTGGTTTTGTTTGCTACATTTGTTTGTTTGTTTTTTTAGCCCTTTGGGGGGGTGGGGTGGAGGGATACAAATTGTTCTGTTCTTGTAACATTTGCCCTCATCAATTTATCGCACCCTCTCACTTTTTCTGTCTGTCTCTCTGTCTCTGTCTTTATCACTGTTTCTGTCTCTTTCTCTCTCCCTGCTTCTCTTTCTCTCTCTCTCTCTCTCTCTCTCTCTCTCTCTCTCTCTCTCTCTCTCTCTCTCTCTCTCTCTCTCTCTCTCTCTCTCTTTCTTTCTCGACACCCCTCTCTGCCTCTCTCTCTTTCCCTGCCTCACTCTCTCTCCCTCCCTCCCTTCCTGCCTCTCTCTCTTTCCCTGCCTTTCTTTCTCTCCCTGTCTCTCTTCTACTGTCTCTCCCTCTTCCTTGATTCCTGACTGTACAATTTATTTATTGGTCTTACTTTTTCTGAGAACTAAATAATTATTGTTCCGCCGATGTGCTTCTCTCTATTCAAACTGAAACTATTTCTTTCATGGATGATTAAGTTTCCCTTATATCTCATCTATGACTCTGTCCCCCACACAGGTAACTGGAGTCAGAGTGGCTACAGCAGCAACCGCCAGTCCATGGACTCGGACGTCAAGTCCAGTATGCCGTCCACCACGTCACAACATTCACTGGGCCGGGACTCTGGACGAGACTCACCGCTCTTACAGCGCAGGTCAGTGGTCAGCTCAAGGCAATGTAAAGGAAAAGTACGATGAAACACATGAGTCTTCTTCTGTACTTACATACATCCATCTTTGGTCTGTGGGTGGTTGACAGCTGCTGTGGTGTGGTTAGCTCCTTCTTTCATATATAATAATCAAACATGTATGGTCTTTATCTCTCTCCTCCTTCTTTTCTCTTATGTTACTCTCTAGTAACACCTATAATATTTTTCACTTATATGACCTTCTTGTGTTGCAAGTGTTTTAAAATTTTGAAGAAAACTGAAAAACAAAAAAGCCTCTAGCCCCATGTTTTACTTGTTTGAAGATAATTCACAATGAGGAAGATTATCCACTGACCTTCATTTACAACGTGTTAGTCAATAATTTTTTTGTTTCCCCTGTTTAAGAATAAACTACCTAAGGTTAACATTACAGCACAGCTAGAAAGAGAAACAATAACAAACTGCTACAAATGTATACAAATTATATTCGAGCATGGTGAGGAGATTTGAAACTGTTTTATTTGTTTTAAAAAATTTGAACTCTTATAAGTTTGAGACAACTGGCAAAAAGAAAAAGAAAGAACAGAAATCAAATTTACTGTTCTATGCTCAGTTTCACACATGGAGGACAGTTTTCTTTGCTTTACTACTCCTTCTTTGTACTGTCCCTCTTCCACAGGGATACCCTGGACACTGGTTACATGGGAGATGCAGCCAGCTCCGAGTCCATATCAGAGACAAAGTCAATGTCAAATGCGGACAGTGATGATTGGATTCGCTCCCTAGCAGAGAGGGCCGCGAGTCGAGGGGATGTTACCTCCACCAGCGCTGACGCCTTGGCCAACTTGTCACGTCTCACCAAACAAAACATCCGTAACCTGGACATTCTGGTTCCTGGTCGCTCCAGTGTGAGACGAAAGCGCAATGAGTTGGAGGATGACGGAGAGTCATCTGTGTACTCTCTAGACCAGGAGGGATTCTACACCTCTTTCCATAATGACAGTGGTCTCCGTCGAAGTTCCAACACCCTGTTAGAGGATGAGGACGATGATCTGATGATGCCGCGTATGAGGGAGACAAAAAGTCTGCAAAGCGTGACCAGCTTCAGTACCATGGAGAGCGTCATTTTCAAGCCTGAGAATGAAGGTGGAGTTCAGACTGTAAAGTCCTCGTCTGTGTCATCTCCAAATTTGGCATGCCCTTTGTATACTGCTCCAACCATTTCTGACTTTCAAGAGTCTGATATTCCAGATATAGATGCCCCGGAGGATAATGGGAATACCCTTGATGCTGGAGACACAGGCACACTTAAAGCAAAGAAGAAAAAGGACAAGAAAAGACCACCACCACCCCCTCCCCCTCGCAGAACCTCCAGCATCCGAAGAAGTGGTGTCAACTGTGCCGATTCCTCTATCTCACCTTCATCTGACAAAAATCAAATTGGCCCTCTCGGTGAAAGCCCAGAAACATCTTCGGAGTCCTCAGACCATGAGACCATTAGTGCTCGACTGAAGACAAAAACCAACATCTCTGCCCGTACGTTCCCCTCATGGTGTGCCGGGATTGTCAGTGATGACGATGATTTTGCCCCACGAGATACACTCAGCGCTTCCCAGGAACGCCTTAATGCCGAATCTTCGGAGTTGGAAGAGATGTGCCAGTTTGTACTCTCCGGTACTGTGCCTCGGCCACATAAAGAAACCAACAAACTCATACTGGATGATGTCGACTACACAGCTAACTCCTGGCCACGAGTTAAGAGGTTAGAAACATCCGGTATCCTCAAAACTCCAGAAAAAGATAAAGCAAAAATTAGTAATGCAGGAAACCCAAAGACTCTGAACTTTGCCCCAGTGGTCAACCTCTTTGATGCTAAATCTCCTCATGGAGTCCCCATGCCCCTGTCCCGAATGTCCTCATCAGATGAGAGCAGCTCAGCCACCAGCACTTTTATGTCAGCACCGTCGTACAAACTCTCTCTCCCTCCTACTGACTTCAGTGAGGACAGTCAGACAAAAGGGGCTTCAGACAAGAAGGTCCACACTGTCACCAGCCAAAACGTGTCCAGCAAGTTTGTGTCTGCCAGTCCAGGGACTCCTGGGTACAAGCCAGGAAATTCTTCCTCTCAGGTAGTTTGCCTTTAATGTTGAAATGTGTGTGTGTGTATGTGTTTGTGTGTGTGTGTGTGTGTGTGTGTATGTGTTTGTGTGTGTGTGTGTGTGTTCGCTTTGAACTGGGATAATTGTTTATAGGTTTAACTACATCAGTCACTTTTCATTGTCCTTGTATAGAGCACTCTGCATGTCAGACATTGCATATATGGAGTATTTCATAGACTATTGCATATATGGAGTATTTCATAGACTATTTATAGAGTGTCTGTAGAGTATCTTACAACCAAAAATTGTTTCTCTATAACTGGAGGTTGTCTGCTCTGTAAAAAAAGGAGCATCTATTTGGTGGCTCTCTTCATAAACAAAATGTTTTACTCATGCTCAGTGTTGTGTTTAGCTGTATTGAAGGGCTAGAAAATTGTTTATTTTCTTTCTGAATTTGATATCATGCTATACTGGAACCATACCAATGCAAGTTGCAAGACTCAGACAAACACCATTGTGCAATACTAGTAAAAGAATAATAATGAAGAAGTATTAGGAAAGTTCCGAAGAGTAAAAAGACTGAAAACAGGAAAGAAACAAAACACAAATATTTTACCTTGAATTTATCCATGTAGCACCCCCTCTTGACTACCTCTAGGGGTAAGACTTCTTCCCCCTCTTCGAAGGCGTGGCATTTTCTACTAAAGTTCCAGCTCAATCACTTTTTTTTTTAAAGTGTTAGGCCTACATGCCAATTGTTGCTTCCTAGAAGAACCTGCTCTAGATTCTAGATCTAGCCTAGATCTCGAAGGATTATAAAGACATTGGCCTATAATTGAAAGAAGGAGCATATAGGCCCTTACATAGATCTAAGTTTAGAAATTCACATTTTTAACAACCGACAGGTGTCACAGATGGCCTAGATTTCTAGATCTATTCACAGCAGGAAAAATCCACTTTCAAGAATACTTTCATTTTTCTTTACCTCGATCTAGATTAACCGACAGCCTAGTTCTAGACTCTAGATCTATTCACAGCAGGAAAAGATCCACGTTCAATACTTTCATCATTCTTGATCTCGATCTAAGATTAACATAATATAGATCTAGATCTAGCCTAGATCTAGATCTTAGAATCTATAATGCATAGCAAAAAAAATCCAATTTCAATATTCAATAGGTTATCGAAATATCACAGATCTAGATTCTACTTTCATTTCATGATTCTTTTTTATCTCGATTTAGATCTCGATTCTAGATCTCATCTAGACACTGTGCACAAAATACACTATTCCTTCGGTGTGCACGCTAAATCCACTGCAGGAGAAATCTACTTTCAATGCTTTCATGTTTTGTTTATCTTGATTTAGATATTAGATCTAGACATACAACTACACGAAGGGCGTAAACCGGGCTACGATTGGCTGAACCTTTGACTTTGACCCATGAATACATTAAGTAGGCCTACGGTAGGCTACTCTTGGCGCTTTCGACGACACCCTCCCTGTCACTCTCACCACCCTCCCCCCTGCAGTGCTATCTGGCCTCCTCTATCTCTTCATTTCTCTTTTTCTCTCTCTCTCTCTCTCTCTCTCTCCTTCTGTCTCTCCACTTCTCTCTCTCTCTCTCTCTCTCTCTCTCTCTCTCTCTCTCTCTCTCTCTCTCTCTCTCTCTCTCTCTCTCTCTCTCTCTCTCCCAAGGTAGGGTAACAAATGAAAAAGTCACCACTTTGTAACATGTATTACTACCTGATTCTTCTCCTACTTTTTCTTCTTGTTCTCCCCCTCCTCCTCCTCTAATTCCTCCTGCTCCTCCTGCTCCTTCTCCTCCTTCTCCTCCTTCTTCTTCTTCTTCTTCTTCTTCTTCTTCTTCTTCTTCTTCTTCTTCTTCTTCTTCTTCTTCTTCTTCTTCTTCTTCTTCTTCCTCTTCTTCTTTTCCTTCCTCCCTCCTCCTCCTTCTCCTTCTTCTTCTTCTTCTTCTTCTTCTTCTTCTCATCCAGTTTCTCCTCCTCCTCCTCCTTCTATGAGCGCACCAAACCCGCTGTGAGAAGACGGTCAAAGGCGTGAGATCGAAACCGGAAATTTCCGTAAACTTACTTAATGTACATCTGAACACAAAATATCCTTCGGCGCAGTCGGCACTCCGCAGTGAATATACAATGTCGAAGCAAATGATGGCGATCGCTACAAAAGGACTGAATTTAACTTAAAATGGGCTTTTTTCTTACACATTTGATCTTAATGAAAATACAATAGTGCAACACTACGTTTCAAGTTATGGGTACTGGCAAAGTTTCATATTTTTTCATTGGGTAGTTTCTGAGAATATACTGTTCGCAAAATTTGGCCTTAGCTCCATTAGTAGTAAGATGACGTTTATCAGAGTCTTTCTTTCAGTCATCTATGTTTACATTCCACTGATAATCAAATATAAGAGGAAGCTAGAGGTTCACTGTAGCTTCATACTTTCTGTCAAAATTCAGGTGGAAGCAATATGCCTGTATATGCCTCTATGAGTGTTAAAATATTTTTAAAACATATATTGTTCTAACAAAAACAAGCTAGTAGTAACATGAAGGCTGTTTAGTTTCATTGTCATTACCTTTCTCTGTTATTTCATCCACAGTTGTCAGGAGCTCACTCAAAGTCCTCCCCGTCCATTTCGTCCATTGACAGTTTTGATGCTCCGCTTGCGAAGCCACTTGGAGCGTGCGACAAGTCAAGTGACACTCTCAGCAGCAATAGCACCATTGCTCTCTCTGACTTTGACTCCTCCAGCCTAACACACGTCAGCCTCACAGATTCCACCCCTTCGGGCTCCACATTGTCCCTCAACTGGGACACGGATGATACCCCAAACCCCACCCCATCTGCAACACCTGTGAGGAAGTTGGTGTCTGAAAAGAGTGCCAAGTCTTCCTGTAAGTCGCCGAGGCATGATCATAACGGGAATTTGAAACTCTCTTCTACTCCTGCAGGGATCACAAAGTATAGTCGTGGAAGATCCCCTGCGAAGGGAGTGGCTCCAAAAGCCATGCAAGAGGAGTTTTCTTTATCTTTTCCATCGCCATCTTCATCATCATCTGTTCCTGCACAGGCTACCTTATCATCAGTTAAACCTGTCATGAACTCATCAGTTCCATCATCAAGTAAATCAGCATTAATTTCTGCCCCACCTGAAACTGGTCCCGTCCTGTTGTCTGCTCCGAGGATCTCTTCTACATCTATTAAATCAGGTGGTAATATTTCAGTGCCTGTATCTACCTGTGCCTCAGCTATGCAGCAGTCCATGAAGCCAAATTCATATGGGACAATTATTCCTCCCAACAGCAGCTCTATCAATCTGTCCACCGCTCGTGCCAGCGATAAAAAGCCAAATATTATCAACAAAGACTCGTATGTCAAATATCCAAATGCCAGCGTCCCAAAGTCAACATCTTGGTCCCGTGAACGCAACAACCTGAACCTGATGCAGTCAGGAAGTAAAGAGCAGCCGTTCAGTTCTAACATAACTCACCCTCAGTCATGGTCCACTGCATCTGCTCCTTACAAAGGCATCAGTTCAGCTGCGGAGAAGACAGAGAGAAGGAGAAGTAGTCCTGTTCTGGCGGAGAACTCCCGAGGCGTTATGTCTACTTCCTCTGGCTACAATTTTCCAACAGGTGAGGTCAATAAAAGTGACCTCAGCTTCAGTAAGCGTCGTCAGAGTGGAGGCAGTCTACACAGTCCGGCAGACAGCGGTTTTGGTTCTCCTGGATTCAACCAACCTTGTCCCGTTGTGCCCATTCAGCCATTCAGTTATCCATCTGTTCAGCAGCAGCAGCAGGAGTCATGGAACTCATCATCATCGGATTCTTCAAACTCCAAAGTCCCCCTCATCAAGAAACCTTTGTTAAAAGATTCCAAGTCTTCCCCTCACCTTGTCCAAAAACAGTTTCCCGGAAGTAGTGGCAGCCAGTTCAAGGCTGACCACAACTTAAAAACTCACAGCCACAGCTCGAGCTCCAGTGAGTCGCTGAGTTCCCAGTTCTCAATGGCCTCCTCCACCAATCATCTTCTGGGAAAGAAGGGAAAGACCGACTTGTCCCAGCCCGTCATGCGCTCAGGTCACTCGAGTGAATCCCTTCATTCCAACAGCTCTGCTGGGCGCTCCGACTCCTACAGAGTAGCTCTCCTCGCAGAGTGTGATGAGACAAGTCTTGTTTCCCGCAGAAATTCAGCATCAAGCACAAGCACTCACAACGACTCTTCAGTGAAAGCCTCAGAAAGTTCTTCATCTCGTCCGACATTGAGAAAATCTCTCTCAGGCCCAGCCTCAAATTACACGGACGATGGTATCAGTCGGGCCGACTCTTACCGCTGCGCAGTGCGGAATACACAGAGCGCTGTACTGGGTGATGTGATGGCTAGGAATAGCTCCTACCGGCTGGCGACTTGTGAAGACAGCGTTGTTGTCACTGACAGCAGAATGGATGCTTGCAATCTGTGGACTGGCAAAACGGGGGGCACCAGAGACATGAGACGTATGGGCATCACTGATGTGGATCAGCTTAAAAACTATAATGACAGTGATGTCAAAGTTAGCTCCAAAAGAAACACTTCCAAAACTGCTGCCACTTTGCACGTCAGAAAAAAGTTAGCAGTGAAACCAGACAATGAATCTCTCCTTAGCACATCGTCCAAAACCCCACCCACTGACCACAAAAGACTGGTGAAAACCAATAGTAAAGACAAAGGCAAAAACAACAAAACTCAGAGCTCGACCTACATTCGATTTGACCCAATATTTGAGAGTGGGGAAGATCTAAGAGCCTCCAGTGAGTCTCTTCGGCCACCGTCAATCACCTCTGTGCGCACCCTGGCTAGAGCAGATTCCAACGATACTTTGACTGCTGAAAAGGCTCAACTTGTGAGTCAAAAGGCTAGTCCTGTGTCTCCTGTCAGAAAAAGGTCATCATCTCAGGGTCGAAGGTCATTTGAAGACAGGTCAGGTCTCTCATTGCTGGGGAGCATCAAGACCACGATAAAGTCTATTGGGGGTAGCAAGGGGGAATGATTTCTTCAAAGTTGTTCATCTTTATTGAGGTAGTTTTGTTTTTACACATGTGTACAGCAAAATGGTCTTGTCTGGTCAGCTGTCTCCTTTGAATTCTTCAGTCGGCAATGTCATGACCTTCCCTTCACCTTCACAGTTTTCTTACTTTGCAAAATGTTTTAATTGTCTAGAAGTTGATTTTTTGGGGGGAGGTTTAATTTTGTTTGGGTTTTTTGTTCTTTTTTTCTGGGAAAGGGGGGGGGGGGAGATGTTGTACATTTCTGTCTAAGGGAAGTTTAATGGACTTTGAATTTTTAACATATACTGCCGTGATCTTAATTTACTAAAATTCTTAATATGATTTTTATTTTCATATGTTTGACACTTGATTTCGTATGAAAACTCAATCTAAACCAATTTTTTATTAGATTGTTTCAAGTTCTTCTAAATCAACTATTTTTCATTCCTCAAGGTGTTTTGAGGAGTGCTTTTTACGCATATTATTATATAGCTAATGAGCAGCGTCAGAAAATAGCATGCCTGTGCTGACCTACAAAGGCTCAGTTTTGATCCTCTTGTTCTTTGGATGAAAATAGCTTCAGGGTTTCACAAATGTACAGGTATATATGGGTGATTGCATTTGATTGTGAGTTGATGCTCAGTGTTTCATATCCATGTAGCTGCTCAGATGATGATGTTGAAGTCTTAACGAATGGGTGGTGAGTCAAAACGGTAGAAAGGTATACGGTTTATGTGTGGATCAGATTCAGGAGCTGATACTTCAGAAAACAATATGATTTAGAGAGAAAGAGAGAGAGAGAGAGAGAGATAAATTTAATGAGTGAAGTATAGGCTGCTAAATCCTTTTCTACTGTTTTTCCATCGTATTCATTTATGACTCTGTAAGAGAAAAGACTTTTCTGTGCTTTAGCATGAAAGAGAATGCACACCAAGTTCACTTAAATGTTTTAGCTAGGTATACACAAGAAAATATATTTATATTTTTACATTGTGTGCCATATCAATAACCAACTACCCATATAATAAGAAAAGGTTTGGAAGAGCATTCCGTATGGCCTGAGGCAGCAAAACTTGACTTTAAATTTAAATTGTACAGGATTTCATGTATGTTTATGTTTGTAGGTAAAGTTGTGGTTGAATTTGTTTGTGCTTTTTTGTGTAACTTGCCTACATGCCTTTTGAGATGCATGCATATTGTGTACATGTATGTATCTTTAGTCTTGGACAGTCTGTTGGCTTTTAGTTCTGGAGTTGAACAAGTTTTTAATCAAAAAATTTAGAAAAAGTATTTTGTCATAGCAATGACATGTCTTTCTCAAAGACTTGCAGACAGTACAGGGACTTTTAACCCTGAATCAGCTGGTGACTGGACTCTCAAGAAAGTCTGTACTAGCTGGGTTCAAAACATTAGGCTTTTGATTTTTTTTTATCTCGCAGAAGAAAAGATTTCACACGTACAAGCACATACTTCACATAGAAATTGATGGCTGCTGGATCAGAAAAGAAAAGTAAATCGATGGCTGAACAGAGAATATCAGGATTACAGCTACAGTGCACAAAGGAATATAGAGGAACCTGTCAATATCATATTTGTACCATCTGCACAAGCTTGTGTAAGCACGTGCTTCACTTTTAGTGCACAACATGTGCATGTGAACAGTGCTTCAGCATTTAGGGTTGGAGTTTCTCTGCTTGCTAGCTCAGGATGTGCTGGTCAAGTTTAGCAGAGTAATCAACAGTTTTCAAAAATTGCAAGCCTTGCCATTAAAAAAGGTTATGTTTTTTTATACAACTCCTGAGGTTACTGGAATATCTTAGAGTGTTTTAACTGTATTTTGGCGCTTTGTTCATCTTATTGTCTCTTTCTGGTGGGTTTCGAACTTTCATTTCGAATAATGCTGAACATGTGAACAGGACAATATTGTTACCTCTGTAAGCTACCAAAGAAATAACTTTCATGTCAAATGTGCATGAAGATTATTTTTGGTTAAAATTCGGGGGGCCATTGTTTTGATTACAAGTCAAGCCTTTTTTCCTATTCCTTCTAACACTTGAAAGAGCAATAACATGATGAACTGTGCAAGCCTTTCTGTCTAAAATATGGAGATATTTTTAAAACCTTTTTTCACATACAGTGAGTTCTAAAGGAATAGGATTCTCCTACTATAGACATATGGCCTTCCACATGTACACTTTCATGTGGCGGCATCAGTATTGTAGTAGTTAGGCTACTGGACTCATAATCCTGAGGTTGCAGATTCAGGGGGATCAAGGCTCAGCTTGTTCTGATATTGTGTCCTTGGAAAAGTCACTTTTTGCTGATTTTCCTATTTGGCTCTGATCCTGTCATTAAATTTGGAAGTACTGCTCTTAAATAGCCTTAGTGTTGCAAGGACACTAATTAACCTTTACCCTTTTACACATTCTTGGAGACAGAGATACAGATTGTTTAATTCCTAGAAGATTGGACTCAACTCCTGTGGTCATCTGCCAGACTTTCAAGTAATACATTGATTTAATATTAAATAAAATGGTTGTAAATGTTAGTAGGGAAGATCTTAGTTTTAGATTCAACATTGAGCTGAGGGATGTTTTACAATTAGTTGAATTAACATCTTTTTGTTGATGAATGATGTTTCCTTTTATGTAAATTATTTGACATGCCCTTGGAGAGGTTACCGTCACAAGGATTTTGTTATAGATGTTTTTTTAACACTGTGGGTCACAGAACTTGTGATGAGTCACTTTTGTTTTGTACTGTGCTTATGTTTCGTTATCATTGAAAATTAATTTATTCAAAGAGGAACCATTAATGTTTGATGTCACATTATACCCAGTTAATGTAGAGGATTTTCTTGTCAGGGTTAGTACTTAAACTGCTAAGGGTAAAGATCTCTTGGTTGTGTTATCAATTAACCAGATCACTCATAGAAGTAATTTTTATTTGGTGAGGTGCTCTGTGCAAATTCAAAACATAGATCTGTGCTTACTTTTATATGCTTTAAAATCAATTCCAAGAGAAGAAACCCAAGATCCATTCGGGCACTAAATTTCAACCATATGGGGCACAGCTGGCTGGAGGTAGAGAAGGTCGTCCAGAACAGTACCGTAAGCTGACAAAACACCTTTTTTGCATTTTTGGCGCTCAGTTTTTTTTATTTGCTAGATCGAAAGCCTGATCATGTACCCTACCTGTGTGAAAAAATCAAAGTGAAACTGCGTCTGTTTTTTTTAATAAATTAGAATAATTTTGGATGAAGGTTTTTTCTTTAAATGGTTACACTGACTGAAAAAAAACACTCTTTTTCTCGAAATTCCTGTGAATTTTTTTAAAGGCGTTTAATCAGCTTACAGCAGAACAGAGACAGGTGGGAAGCCCTTCTTGGCAATCTTTACTCAAAACTAAGGTCCAAGAAGAGGATGATGTCCGTAAATGCCAGCCGTAAACTACACAATACAGACTATTTCTCTGCAAGTTAAGCTGATATTTGACATAGGTAATAGTGTATGTTTCATGCCCACGTACCAGAGTTGTGATAAGTAAAAGAATAGTGGAATTGTCTGTTGGCTTCATTTGACCCCATATCAGAATTTTGACTGGAAACCTGTACAGCTGTATTGATTTTTAAAGAATTTTATACCCTAGCTTAAAATTTTTTAATTGTATTTTGTCTTTTTGTTGGTTTAATTGTTCCAGATGGGGTTTTTTTATATACTGATTTGTTTCATACAAAAGTGTTCTGTGCATATCTTAGACTTGGATTTAGCGTTGTTTTATCTCACCAGACTGTACATTCCATTTGACAATGTCTTAAGTCATTAAACATTCCATTGTTTACAAATACTAAGTGAGCTGGTATTTATTACATTGGTTCCAAAACCGTCTGAACATTAAGTTTTTTTTGTTTTTTTATGGGGTCTGATTTTAATGCCCTTCCAGACACAAGTCGGTCATTTTGAAAGTTGTGTTTGGCCTAGTGAAGGCGAGAGGTTACAGTATAGAGTTCAGCTGACAGAAGGAGGAAATAAAAGCAGAGTTGAATGCTCTTAAATACTAATCACTCACACATGTTGCCTGATGTAAGCTAAGACTACTAAGAGTAAGAGGTTTATGTTACATTCCACCTTCTTGAAGGTCATCTCTTCCTTTTTACGGCACTTGCAACATGAACAGATTATATAAATGCCGAAGATTAGATGTGGTATTAGAGAGTAACATACTATTAAACAAAGGAGGAAAGATAAGGACAATAGATGTTTGATAGAAAAGGAGGAGGAAACCACACCAAAGCACCCGCCAACCACCCACAATCAGCATCAGAAAATTGGGTCAAGTTGTTTTCGGTCAGTCAGTGTACTTTGTAACTGTAGATGTTTTGTGCTGCTAACGTCACAGTTTAGATCATTTAGGAGGTGGGCTTCTTCAACTCTTATTAAGGGGGCTCTCGTGGCCTAGAGGTTAAGGTGTTGGCCTCTCATTCAAAGGTCCCGGGTTCGAATCCGGGTAGCGACCAAAAAATTTTCTTCTCTAAAATTGTCTCCTTTCACCTCCTTTCCTGCTCTCTAGCAATGTTCTGTTGTCTGCTTTCATTTCCACTTTCTGCCCCCCACCCCCTCACCTCCTTTGCCCCCTCCTCTGGGCTCCTGACTCTTTCTGCAGCCTTTCTACTGTTACTCCTTGGCTCCTCCTTACTGCTGTCTTTCTGCCACACCCCTGATCTTCTGGTAGGAAAGATCTACACCTAACCTTCTCGGACAAGGGCGAAAAATCTCGGAGGGCCCGTGTGCTAGTTGCGCACGTTAAAGATCCCTTGGTGGTCTAAAATCGATAAGAGTAGGCTTCGGCCGCCACCCGGGCAAAATTCAAAATTTCCTACCAACTGAAAATATTAGGAGTGTCCCGCGCGCTCAGATGACCTATGCAGTTGCGAGCGCCGTAAAACACTTTACAAAAACAAAAACAACTCTTATTTGTCAGGACCAACCCTGGCTGAGAGGGATACGAGGGCCAGCAGAAAGACCAAGATGATACAAATTCTCCTCACACAGAAACCTAACTCACGACACTCATGTCCTCTGACACTCATGTCCTCTGCATGTGACACAGGAGAACTGAACTGCTAGATGACAGACACAGGTCCAGTCAATGTGACAGTAGCCACATACCTCTACAACTCACAGTTTTAGCGTTAGTTTTAGTAAGAGTTTTACGGCACCTGCAACACAATTAGGTCAGTTAGTTTTAGTAAGTGTTTTACGGCACTTGCAACACAATAAGGTCATATAAATGCCAAAGATTAGAGGTGTTACAAGAGAGTAACAAACACAAAAAAGGAGGGGAGATAAAGATGATAGATGTTTGTTAGGAAAGAAGAAGCAAACCACACCAGAGCACCCGCCAACCACCCACCAATTAGGTCATATGAGCGCTGAAGGTTACAGGTGTTACAAGACAGTTACAAACAAAGGAAAGGAGTAGAGATAAGGATAAGAAATAAATGTTTGATAGGAAAGAAGGAGCAAACTCCACATCACTTGACAACCACCCACTCAAGTCATATGTATTATGTATTCAGAATTTTCTAACATCATGAAATACACAGAACAGACTACATCAGAATGGCAAGGTTTATTGCCGTTTTCATCACTGAAAGGTTATTTTAGGGGTAGGACCTCTGAAATATGCACCTTTTTTTTAAAGTAGATGTTTTTTCGCCCTTATCGACACAATTTACATCTTTACAAGGCGGGCTTCCAACCCTGCCTGTCAGGGCCAGTCTGGCCTCAGAGGGGTACAATATCCAAGCAGAAAGACCAAGATACATGTACTCAATGAGAATTCTTCTTCCCACTTGCTAACTGCTAAAGCACAGACACGGATTAACACATCTTAAACTTTAACAGGACTGAGCAAATAAGGTGGAGAGGCTTGAAAACTCGAACAACCAAAATTCAAGAACATCCCTAAAGGGATTCAAACAAGGGTCACCCATACCATTGCCAAGCATGGCACCAATAGCACTAACAGGTAGCTCCTGTATCTGATTTTTTGGGGGTCTTGGTAAGTTTTATGGCACTTGCAACACAATTAGGTCATATAAGACTAGTAAGATTTTTTAGTTTTAGTAGAGGTTTTACGACGCTCGCAACTGCATAAGGTCATATAAGCGCCAGAAGATTAGAGGTGTTACAAGACAGTAACAAACATAAAAAAGAAGAAGGGGAGACACGGACGATAGATGTTTGATAGGAAAGAAGGAGCAAACCACACCAGAGCACTCAACCACCCACAGCACAGACTAATAAGAGCCGAAGATTAGCAAAGGAGGAGAGATAAGGACGGTAGATGTTTGAATGGAAAGAAGGAGCTAACCACTCCAGAGCACCCGCCAACCACCTATCACAAAGCTTTTGATACTAAAATAATAAAACACTGAAGTCAGCATATGCAAGACAGTATATATTTTAGTCTTAGTTTCTTTACCATCACAAAACTCATACATAAATATATAAATCATGTGGATAATGTTGGCATTCTGATACAGCTAACAGCTTTGTGCTAACATTACAGAAATCATAATATTCAAATACTTAACGATATGCAAATCACAAACGCTGAAAAAGACCCATTTGAGTCAACATGTTACAGATGTGTACTTTGTACAATGCATTTATTTTAAAAAATTGAAATGACGGAAAATTAAGGAAAAAAATTTTAAGCACAAAGATACAGGAATGGCAGAAAATATAGTTTCATGTACGCAGAGGAAATCCAAGTTGTATATTGCATCAATCACGATATAAATATAGATCTAGTCATCACAATCCCCAACATACATGTGCATATTTTCAATCATTTTCACACACTAGAAAACTCAAATATCTCCATGCTCAAGAGCCGTTAATCGTATCCAGTTACTTCAATAACCATAGACTGTCTCTCAGACATGGGCAAAGCAGCAGTTTCCACTAATCAAAAAACAATTGACAAGAAAAGGTTAACACAAAGTCAAAAACAAACTCATCACACTTTGGACAACTCAAGACGAACAGATATGACTGAGCCAGATCCTAACAAATCAACACAACAAAGGTCATTTAGTGCTGGGAAAACTAAAGTAAAGACAAACAGACAAAAACAACAAAGGAACCCGCATAAAAAAGCAAAACTGACCAGCCTCCCGCATGTGAAAGACAACAATTTCTTAAAATAAAAGAGACATTTTTAAACCATTAAATTATTCAATCATAACATTACAGTTTTTAGACCAAAAAATTGATAAAAGGTATGAAAATGATACTGGTTCGAATTACATACAAGCCAATATTCTACATATTTTTGTGAATGGCTCTGTTCAAGTTTAAAAGCTGCACGTAACTGTTCCAACTGAGACACAGCCCAACAGACACCACTGACTCAAATATACAGTGGAGTCCCCTTATAAGTTATACTGAAACCAGCGGGACTGTCGGATTTTCTTCAGTTTAGCCAGCTTTTCGGTTTAGAGAGA